AGAGAGAGAGAGCAGGAGTAGGTGGAGCAAAGGGAGAGAGAATCTCAAGCAGACCCCGCGCTGAGCGCAGAGCCCAATGCAGGGCTCGATCTCACGACCCTGAGATCACAACCTGAGCCAAAACCAAGAGTTAAGAGTGTGCTTAACAGACTGTGCCACCCAGGCGCCCCTCACCACAGCTTCTTGAATGAAGTCTATACACCTTAACACATCCTTCAAGTTCCTCTGCACTGGCCCCAATTTACCTTTCCAAGGTCATTTCCAGCCTGCCATCAACACACACCACAGGCTCCGACTACACTGGACTATTTGCAGTTAACTAGACAGGTCAGATTCCTTCAGGCTTCCCTGCCTTTGGTTTGTGCTACTATCCCTGCTGGAAAAGCCCACCTTTTTGCTGCTATTACCCTCCTTTCCCGTGTTCCCGCTGGACCATGCCCCTACCCCATCACAGCACAGATAAGCCTGTCTTCTGCTGTGCTCCTTCAAGGGGATCTTTTCCAGGCCCTGGCAAACACCCTAAGCTAATGCCTCATTGCTTTGCACTTGCTCTTCTCGCTGCCTGGAATACTTCCCCCTTCCCCACCAGCACCATTTGGCAACTGCAATGGCTTACCACCTCTCTTCACCTAGCTCTTTACTGAAATAACTCGCCCCCTCCCTAGGAGAACATCCCAGCACTGTCTTTCCCTCAAACTTTCATTTTCTTTATAGCACTTACCATACCGGGCATTCTATTTTATCTATTCACCACTTTGTCTATTTTCTCCCATAAGTATTCTCTGTATGTACAGATGCTGCCTTGTCCACCCCTTATCCCTAGCCCCTGGAATAAGTACCCAGCATATGTTATGGCCCGATAAATATCTGTTGGGTGAACAAATGACCTGAATTGAACTAACTTCCATCTGCATTCATCACGGCTGGGGCGGAGGGGCAGGAGGGCATTTCCCACGTGAGCGGAAAGGAATGAGGGGCTTCCTGGGAGGGGATCGGGGTGAGGCGCGGGCCTGGTACCTGTCCCCCGCCCTCAGGGAAAAGCAGCGTGTCTTCCAGCACCACATGGAAGCCACTCAGCACATCCTTCTTGCCGTTGCTTCCTTCGATCTGCAGCTCGCCCGGGAGGCAGGAGACCACCGTGGTGGTGAACTGCACGGAGAGGGACAGAGAAGAAGCCCGACCCCAGCCCTCAGGCTACCGGGACAGAGCCTCCCTCGGCACCCCTCCACGCGGCGCCCTCCTCCCGCACCGCCCCATCCGCCCTCGCCCAGCCGGCCGCACCTCGCGGGCGTAGCTGTCCCGCTGACACCGGAACGCCATCGCCGCCGTCGCCCGGGACGCGGGGACCCACGCACCCTGGAACGCCCGCGGCCCGACGGAGAGCCGCGCGGGACAATCTTCACTGCGGGCGCGTCTCCGCGCAGAAGCAAGAGGGGAAAGGACGGGGTGTGGCTTGGGCAAATTTACTGCAAACGCGATTTGCGATTTGCGATTTGCAGACGTTCCGGGGAGCCTAGCGACTGTGTGAAGGCTTTGGAAAGAACGAGAAGACAAAATAAAACAAAACTGCTTGCGGCCCGAACTTGTCAAGGCACTCAATTTTAGCCCCGCGCAGTGTCGGCTGGGTGGTACTCATTTGGAGAGAGGGCAGCGCTGCCCAATAGAAATCAGCGCAAGCCCCACATGCTAATGTTGTATTGAAAGCAACAGATCCGGAATATTATGTCAATGTGTAATAACGAGTGTAAAAATGAGTGAGATTTTGTTTCCGCACAAAATTTTCGAAAGCGGATGTGTATTTTGCACTTAAAGCACATCTCAGCTTGCACTGGCCACATCTTTTTTTTTTTTTTTTTAAAGATTTATTTATTTATTTGAGAGAGTGAGAATGAGAGAGAGAGTACATGAGAGGGGGGAGGGTCAGAGGGAGAAGCAGACTCCCCGCCGAGCAGGGAGCCCGATGCGGGACTCGATCCCGGGACTCCAGGATCATGACCTGAGCCGAAGGCAGCCGCTTAACCGACTGAGCCACCCAGGCGCCCGCACTGGCCACATCTTAATACTCAATAATCACATGCACTCAATAACACCAGGTGACTAGTACTACCTAATTGGACAGTGTAGATAAGCAAGGCTAACACAAGTTACAAACTGTAATCAGTACCTTAAAACGTTAGACGGATTAAATGTTAAAATCAACTTCCTGCTCTCTTAAATCAGCTAATAATAAAGTTTGAAGACTCCAGATGTTTCAAAATTCAGGACTTTTCAAATTTTAGGCAGTCATGCAGAGCATACCCCATCCGCTTTGTAACACGTTCCATTTGGAACTCTGGAGCAACATCATGTCATCAAATACATTATTTATGCTGACAAATAAATGCACTGCATGGAACAAACAAATACTATAAGTAGCTCCATATCATTTTAGGTCAGGTTTTGCTGCCAGATGAGTTTTGCTGTCGGGTTTTTTGTTTTTTGTTTTTTTAAGTGGGTTTTCAGAACTTTTTGGTTTTCAGAATTGTGGGTAAGAGGAGGGACATATGCTATACAAGTTCAAGTCCCGACTCTGCCACTTATTGTGACCTGTTCAATCACCTATAAAGAAAAAACCTAATTATAAAGTTGATTTGAGGTTCAAACATTTTTAATGAGATAATATGTAGACTTAGTAAATTGTAAAGCATGATACAATTTTGTATTATCAGATTTTTTTAATGTCAACAGCAAAATGGGCAAAAAACATATACAGAGCACTTTAAAAGAAATACCAATCACCAATAAAAATAAACAATGAACAATTTATAATTAATATAAGTAAATTAAATCAGGTACAATTTTTTTACCTTCACAAATATCTAAAAGGTTTTGGAGAATGGGGCACTCTACTGGTGGGAGCAGGAAGCTGTTCAAGTTCATCTAAGAGCAACCTAGCAACAGCTATCAAAATGTTTAAATGTATCTACTCTTTGACCTGACAATTCCACTTCTAGAAATCTACCTTATTCTTTCCGGATATGTAAAGATACACATTTTTAAATGTTCATTACATCACTGTTTGAAAATTGAATAAGACCAACAACAACCTAAATGTCCCTCAATAAGGAATCAGTTAAATTATGGAAAATATTCAATTGAATACCATGTAGGCATGAAAAAGAGTTAGATTTGCATATACTAATTTGGAAAGAGTCCCAATATATATTAAGTAAAATAAAAAGCAGGGCTCAAGATGTACATAGTATGATTCTAATTGTGTACACACACTGCATTGGTTTATGTCTTTTAAATTTCAATATATATTATACTATATATAAGTAATATACAAAACCGTATGTTTGTGTCATATGTATTATAGTATTAATGGAACTTATAACGTATACAGTGTATATACCTATATACATATAGAAATTTATCAGAGAGGGGCGCCTGGGTGTCTCAGTTAGGCATCTGCCTTCGGCTCAGGTCATGATCTCAGAGTCCTGGGATTAAATCCCACATCAGGCTCTCTGCTCAGGGGGAGCCTGCTTCTCCCTCTCCCTCTGCCCCTGCTTTGCTCTCTTTCTCTCTTAAATAAAATCTTTTTTAAAAATTAAAAACTGTTAACAGTGGTTACCCCAGGACACTTGGGTGTCTCAGTTGGTTAAGTGTCTGCCTTTGGCTTCGGTCATGATCCCAGAGTCCTGGGATCGAGCCCCACTTTGGGCTATCTGCTCAGCTGGGAGTCTGCTTGTCCCTCTCCCTCTGCCCTGCTTATGCTCTCTCTGTCTCTCTCTCTAATAAATAAATAAAATTTAAAAAACAAAAACAAAGTGGTTACCCCTATTGAGGGAGTACAAATTCTACTTTAAATTTTATACCCTTCAGGGCACCTGGATCGCTTAGTCGGTTGGCCTTCCACTTAGGGTCCTGGGACTGAGCCCTATGTTGGGCTCCCTGCTCAGTGGGGAGTCTGCCTCTTCCCCTCCCCCTCCCCCCCATTCGTGCGAGCTTGCTGGCTCTCTCTCAAATAAATAAATAAAATCTTTTTAAAAATCTTTAACAAGAGGCTCCTGGGTGGCTCTGTCGTTAAGCATCTGCCTTCGGCTCGGGTCATGATCTCAGGGTCCTGGGATCGAGCCCCACGTCAGGCTCCCTGCTCCGCAGGGAGCCTGCTTCTCCTTCTCCCACTCTCCCTGCTGGTGTTCCCTCTCTCGCTGTCTCTCTCTGTCAAATAAATAAATAAATAATCTTTTTAAAAAATCTTTAACAAATAAATATTTATACTATTTTAATTATTAACTATGTCTATATGTTACCAATATAAACCTTAAAGTTCAATTTTTTAAATAAATCTTAGTACTTTACCATGAGTTTAAGGGCAAAGTCTGGGTATAGCATTTTGTTTAAGTACATATTAGGCACTCAAAAAATGTTTATGGGGGCGCCTGGGTGGCTCAGTTGGTTAAGTGTCTGCCTTCTGCTCAGGTCACGATCCCAGGGTCCTGGGATCAAGTCCCACATCGGGCTCCTGCTCAGCAGGGAGCCTGCTTCTCCCTTTTCCTCTGCTTGCTTCTCCCTCTGCTTGTGCTCTCTCTGACAAATAAATAAAATCTTTAAAAAAAAATTTTAACGGATGAATGGGGTAGCTGATGAATAGAAGAGTAAACAGAAGAGTAAACAGTAAACAGCTAATATAACAATTAGCTTTGAAAGTATAAAGAAATTTTGAGGAGTATGCAGAAAGCTGAGGCGCGTTTCTGGCTAGTTCTAGGGGTGCAGTAGATATATGGTTCTAGGGGCGGCAATATAGCAAAAGGCTGGGTATGGTCCGAGAAATAGGAGCTGGGCACGGGAAAATTCCCCAGTTTGGTTACAAGCCTGCTCCCAGTATCTTTCTGCTTCCAATCTCAACAATGAGGACCAGGATCTGTGACACCCACCCCTCCGCTTGAGAGGAACAATAGAGTAGAAGAGGTTTGCCTCCAGGTGGAAGAAGTGCAAGAAGGAAAGAGACAAAGAACAGTTCTTACAGATTTATTATAATCTATCTGCTGCTTCTTTGGCTTTTGCTCCAGCACATATATACACATGCTCGAATACTCAAGAGAGCCCTGATGACTGGCCCAAACAAACACAAAGATTACAGGCAATTGGTAGAAACTCAGGAGCCCCACCAGTCTACTCCTCTCCTATCCTGCCATCTGATGCAGCCATACTCAGGTGCCTAGGAAGAAGAAATAAAATATGAAGAGGACCCTTAAAAAGAGCTTCAAAAAAAGGGGTGCCTGGGTGGCTCAGTCAGTGAAGCGGCCGACTCTTGATTTCCGCTCAGGTCATGATCTCAGCGTTCTGGGATCGAGCCCCATCTTGGGTTCCATGCTCAGTGGGGAGTCTGCTTGAGATTCCCTCTCCCCCTGGCCCTCCTACTGCTCACGTGCATGCCCCCTCTCAAATAAATTAAAAAAAAAGAGAGAGAGAGCTTCTAGGTTCAGAGATCCCAGAGACCCCATGGCTAAAGAGCTGGCAAAGACCCCGGCCCCAGCTTTTCAGAGCAACTGGAAGACGCCCCAGCTTCCACCCCAGCTTCCTCCCCAGCTCTGTCGTACAGAAGTTAATTACTTGTTGCTTCAGTGCTGTCAGAATCATCCTAGGGAAAGAAAAAAAAGACAAAAGCACCTGTAGAATCTGCAAAGCGTGGACATTTGTGTTCACAAATTCTTCTCACTCCTTCCTGCTCTCCAAGTTTTCTTTTGTGATTTTCTAAGTCACACAACTTCCTGGCAGGCTAACACGGAAGGATTAATACTTTGGGAAATAAAATCAACCCCTGGTGCTCAATAAACAACACTGTGTCAAGCATCATTTGGTTTCAGAATTTCAATTCATGCCACTGCTCCTGACAGCTGTAAAGACAGTCAAGGGGGCCAGGTCGGCTCTAGGATAGAGAAGTAAAGGGGAGATGGGAGGGAGGAGGGTCTTGCTGGAGTTTTCTACAGCCTGGAGAAGAACATTCGACCTCCTGTGTCAAATTCAAATTTAGCTGACAGGCGCTGAGAACTACTGCGTGCTAGGGACCATGAGAAGAGCTTTCTAGTATCTTATATTTTAGGGCTAAAAGGAAACTGAAGGGTTGAAGGGTAGGCTTTACTTACATCCAGGTCATCCATGCCAGGAGGAGGTCTCTTGCTGCTGACCTTCTTCAAAAGCTAGTGGAAAGAGGAAAGTAATTACAAGAGAAAAGAAGGGCAAGGGGAGAGCAACCTGTATATTGATGGGCCATAGGATGATGGTCCCAGCCAGACAATTGCCTCATCTTTACAGCCCCTAACACATCACTGGAATGAATTGGAGAAAAGTAAATCGATCCCCTTTTCATTTATTTTTATTTTTATTTCTTTTAAGATTTTATTTTTAAGTAACACCTGATGTGAGGCTCAAATTCACAGCCCTGAGATCAAGAGTTGACACACGTTCCACCGACTGAGCCAGCCAGGCGCCCCGATCCCCTTTTTAAAAGGAAATAGACATACACAGAGCATCCTCCTTACTAATCCAGGTTAGGGTCTGTCAGTGTTTTTGCAACTTGAATAAATAGTAGCTGAAATTCTAAAACCAAATAATGTATGGCAGGGTGCAACTTAATTGGAACTAGTAATTTGTTTTACAATGTGAATTTTTATACTGCCTAGTTTGGTTTTGTTTTTTTTTTTAAGATTTTATTTATTTATTTGACAGAGAGATAGAGCCAGAGAGCACAGGTGGAGAGGATGGCAGAGGGAGAGGGAGAAGCAGGCTCCCCACTTGAGCAGGGAGCCCGATGCGGGGCTCGATCCCAGGACCCTGGGATCATGACCTGAGCCGAAGGCAGACACCGAAGGCAGACGCTTAACCATCTGAGCCACCCAGGTGCCCCAGTATATTGCCTAGTTTGAGTTTCCTGTGAAGTTGTGTGGCTCAGGAAATACACACACACACACACACACACACACATAAAATAGAAGAAAGAACAAGAGTTACAGAAGAGTTGTGAAAGGGTTTGCCAAACTTTCTCAAAATTCTGTAACTAGTGAGTGAAGGCATGTATACGGTTCCACTAGTATACATTTCTCTCATCCTACTAAATAAACATTGCACAGAACATTTAAAGAATATGAGCACCAATGAGGGGAGCTCATATGTGTCTGTCTAGCCCTGATGACAGTCCTCCAGAGAAATGTGTGCAGGGAGACACAGAGAATGAGCAGGAGGGGCAGAAAATGGCATTACCTCTGCGTAATGTTCCACCTGAGCCAGCTCCACCTCTTCATCCCCTTCCCAGTCCCTCCAGTTATCAAAGTCCACAGACAACCACACTGGCTGCAAGAGGAAAGCACAGAGCGTCACAGGGCAGGAAGCGCAGAAGTGCATGGAAGAGCATGGCCGCGTGCACAGGGGCATGCGCGGGGAAAAGAAGGTCAATGGGGGTGCAGTCTTCCCAAAAGCACCTCTTTGACTAATTCCTCTCTAGATTGCCAATATCATCATCCACAAAGATTTGCCAGGAACCTACTAAGTGCCAAGCACAATGCCAGGCATTTTGGTAGATAGAAAAGCATAGAAATTCCGCCCTCCGGAAGCGGACTGACTAGAGAGGTAATACATCTGGAAAGATAACCGTGTCATAAAGTATCGTGGGAGTCACCAAGCAAGATAGACAAGCTGCATTCCCTGGAGTCGGGAGAAAACCCTTGGAATCCTGTTCCAAGTTCTTACACTTAGATAGGAAGTTATTCACTCATTAATTTAACGGCTATTTATTGAACACAGACTCTGAGCTTGGCATTGGGATTATGAAAATGTTTGATATATAGTCCCAGCTATCACGAAGCAAGTGGGGAAGGGAAATCTATTTATTTAAAATCATTAAAATACAGTGTGAATGGTATGGTGATGGCTTACACGGGGGATATTATGGAAACCCAGACAGAAGCTATAGGAACTCAGGCTTTTTAGAGTAGCAGAGACTTAAAGGATGAGCAAAGGTTAGATGGGCACAAGTAGCAATGATGGAGGCTTTCCAGGAAGAAGGCACAGCTTGAGCAAAGGTAAATCCGTGAGAAATAGCCTGGTGTGTGCCAAAGAGCTGCAGGCCATTTGCTGTGGCTGGAATGTGAAGTTTAAGGCCGAAACTAATGGGATATAATGCTACAGAAGGGAAGAGTAGCCAGGTCATGAGTTTATATGTCATGCTATGGGGCTTGGATTTCAACCCAAAGGGCGGGAAGTGACAAGCTCATATGCCTAAAAGAGTTAGGGAACTAATGAAAAGGATTAAAGTGTGCTGGTACACATGCTCCATTTAAAGCTCCATCTCTAGGCATTTGGGAATTTCTTTCTTTTTTTTTAAGTAACCTCTGCACATGGGGCTTGAACTCACAGCCCTGAGATCAAGAGTCGTATGTTCTACCAACTGAGCCAGCCAGGCACCCCCGGCATTTGGGAATTTAGACCAGTGTGATCAGAGTCTCCATTTTCTAAGAAAAGCTGATAATCTGTAGTTTTATATGAAATCTCCATATTTTTATAGGTCAGCAACTAATGAAAACTAAATGTCAATAACCAATCAAAATAATTTGTAAGTACTGTAAAGACCACAAAAACAAATTCAAGAGCCAGATCAGCCAGGAGCTAGCCAATTTTCAACTTTTAGCAAGGAAGAAGCCACTGGAGGGTCTTTGGTGGAAGAGTAACAGGGTCAGATGGGTGTTTTAGACAGACCATGCTGGGAGCAATGCAAAGGATGGACTGAGGGTCAGTCTAAAAATATGCAATAAACATCACCCAGTGATGGATGAGACCTGAATTAGGAAAAGATGAAGTAACAGATTCAAGAATATTTAGGAAGTCAAATAGGACTTTGTGAATGATTGAATGTTGGTGGGAAAGGAGCCAAGGGTGATTCCCTGACTTATGTCCCCAAGTGCAGAGATAGCACAGGAGAGAGAGCAGGCCATTCCCCCACACACCTACCTTGACATCCTCTTTAGTGAGTCGGGGCCAGGCTACCTTCTCCTTCCATTTCCTCACGAAGCAAGTAATGGAGCGACCAGAGCGCTTATCCTGGGAGTCCTACCGGATAGAGAGCCTCATTCTTAGCATGTGAGGTTTAGAATGAATTTCCAATTTTCCAGGCAGCCTTCCCATCCAGACCTTACTGTCCCACCCCACAGTTACCTTGGAGTTCACCTTAGCATAGAATTCTATCTCATTGTACAACTCCACTCCGTCGGCATTCTTGCAGCTGAGGAGACAACGGAGCTGAGGAAATGCGGGAGGCTGAGCATGGGGGCGTTAGGAGAAGGGAAAGGTTCCAGGAAACCAGGACCTTCAGAGAGGAGGGCCGTTACCTGAACACAATACGGTGGTCCTCGATGAGCACATGGACATCGGTGCTGTCCTCAACACAAAACTCCATGAACACGTACCTGGGCCTGTCGTACCACAGCATCCGGGCATGCTGCCTGCAGAGGAGTTGCGGTGGGGCTTCATAGGGGTGGGAGAGGGAAGACTGAGGGCATTTGGGAAAGGTGGAAGGAAGGGAACATTTGGGGACGTTTTATGCTACGGCCCTGTCAAAGTGGAGCTAAGTGAGACAGAAGGGGGTGAAAGAGGAGTGATGGCAGCGGGGGTGTGTGGTGAGGTGAGGGTGAACCTGGGGAGAATCCAGAGTGCGAGAGTTGAGAGGGAGGGGGTTATGGAGAACATTCCTCATCACCCCAAAGTTACAGAGACCTGGACTCTGGAATTTCCATGGGAACTCGCAGGAGCGCCCAGAAAATGTGGGACAAGGAATCTCCGAGGAAAAGGGCGGCCGGAAACACTCACCTTGCCATGGCGGCTCCCCGCTACCCGGTGGCATTTGGACTCCGAGCCAGCGACTGCTATCTTTAGATCCTGGGGACGCCCCCAGCAGCTGCCTCTCCTTATATGGTCGGGGAAGGCTTTAGAGGAAGGGGGAACGTGGCCCCCACAGCCAAGGGATCCGCACTTCGGAGAGACTCTAGAAGAGCGTAATCCCGACAGCCCTTCACATCTCAGTGTCTCCAGAAATGTACAGATTAGGAATAGACGACCCGGGGCGCCTGGATGGCTCAGTTGGTTAAGCGACTGCCTTCGGCTCAGGTCATGATCCTGGAGTCCCGGGATCGAGTCCCGCATCGGGCTCCCTGCTCGGCAGGGAGTCTGCTTCTCCCTCTGCCCCTCCCCCCTCTCATGTGCTCTCTCTCTCTCTCTCTGTCAAATAATAAATAAAATCTTTATTAAAAAAAAAAAAGGAATAGACGACCCACCCGCGGGGAACCAGGACAAGGGCCACACTAGATGCACAACGAATGACTTGTCCCTGTCTTCATTCATCCGTTTCTCCAACGCTTAGTGCGTTCTGTGCCTGATTCACAGTAGGCGCTCAATAAAAAATTATTGGCCCGAATTAAATCCCCTGGGAAGGCCCGCCCCGCGTGACTGTGAACCGTTTGTCGCATAAGCCCCGCCCACCCGCGCCTTCGGGTTTCCCGGACAGCGCGCCGTTGCCATGGCAGTGAGGGGGCGCGGCTGACGTGCGACGGCGTTTCCGGGAAGATGGCGGCTGTCGAAGCGGCTGCGGAGCCGGTAACGGTGGTGACAGCTGTTGGTCCAAAGGCGAAGGACGAAGAGGAGGAGGAAGAGGAGTCGCTGCCACCGTGCGAGGCGGTGCGCTGGGCCCCGGTGGGGGCAGTGGCGGAGGCCGGGCCTGGGACGGCCGCGTTCTCGGAAGAGGCGGCGGCCGAGGAGCCCGGCGCGGCCCCGGGCTCCCCTCCGGACTCGCCCGGCCGGACACTGCGGCGGCTGCGGGCCGAGCGGCGGCGGCTGGACTCGGCGCTGCTCGCGCTGTCCTCGCACTTCGCGCAAGTGCAGTTCCGCCTGCGCCAGGTGGTGCGCGGAGCGCCCGCGGAGCAGCAGCGCCTCCTGCGCGAGCTCGAGGACTTCGCGTTCCGCGGCTGCCCGCACGTCCTGGGTTACTGGGGGCCCGAGGACCCCGCCAGCGACGATGGCGATGGGCTGCCAGGGGACCGGCCACGATTGCGGGGCGAGAACCAGGTGAGCAGCTGGGGCCGGGTCCCGAAGGACATGGGAATAGGGGGTTGGGTGGGTGGCGATGCTGACCGGGACGGAGGTAGCAGTGGTAAGAAGCCGGCCGGTATGGGTGAGTACTACGCGCGTCCGAGACGAGGAGGTGAGACAGGTGTGCCAGTCCTGCTGAAGGGCAGGAGGACAGAGAGGCCTGGGAACCTGATGGTGAGGGGTGTCTATCTGAAGTGTGGAAAGAGATGCAGGTGTGGTGACGTGCGGGACACAAGAGTGGTGAGCGGAGTATTCAGAGGGGAACAGCAACCAACCAAAGCAATGCTGCTCCCGCTCACCTTGCCGTTGCCTCATAATGTACCTAAGACCCGAGGACATTTGCTGATAAGTCCCCCGACCTGGGGTTGAGAACATTGGCTAATGAAGTGTAAGTGACTTGGAATCCATGGAAACTTAGATGTACTGCCTGTACCTGCCTTCCTGGAATCTAGAAAACGTCTTTAATATTTAGACTTTCGTGTGGGTGGGAGCTTTGGTGAACGGCAGGATCACTTAGTAATTGAAAGAAATACAACTCCTGATTATATGCATTTCCTGAAGCTGATATTTTAAACCTCCTTGCCCATCCTGCCCAATAACTAGATATTATAAATGAAGCCCCTTTACTGTGACAAGATGCATTCAGTTAGCCTCCAGTGAATAATGAGAGTCTGTATGCCATGCCAAGAGAACATTTCCTTGCAGTCGTTGACTCTCTGGAAGTGCACAGTTGCAGATAGCTTGTTGGAGGTGTTGAAGAGACTTGCTGTCTTCTCCACCTTTTCATTCTTCAAGTTACAACCCACTTATGCCTTTCTTCCCACTTAAATTGGTTTTAACCAAGAAGACTTATCAGTAGCAAATTTGACTTGCTTATTTTAATCTGGAATGTTTCCAGCGCAATCCTGTGTTTACTGTACCACCCTTCTCTCCACATACAGTTTTCCCCCATTCTTTCTCCTTGCGCTGGCTAGACAGCTTCTTCTGGTCAGAGCTCATTATTCGGAATGTGTTGTTCTGTACTTGTTTTAGTTCAGTAGCCTACAGCAAATGTGTATTGAGAGCTTACCCTTTACCAGACATGGTGCTAGGCATTGGGGGTACAAAATCAAAGCCTTTGCCCTAAAGGAGTTCATTGACTGAGGGACAGAATCCTCAACAAAGAATTGCAGTGCAGCATGAGCTAGAGAAGTGTGTACACAATACAGATGGAGAAACGGTCAGCTTTGCCTAGGGAGATCTAGGAAGCCTGAAGGATAGTTAGGCCCTCCCACAGTAGGTTTCTTTTTTTTTTTATTTATTTTTTTTTTTTAAAGATTTTATTTATTTATTCGTGACAGACAGAGAGAGAGAGAGAGAGGCAGAGGGAGAAGCAGGCTCCCCGCAGAGCAGGGAGCCCGATGCGGGACTCGATCCCGGGACCCTGGGATCATGACCTGAGCCGAAGGCAGACGCTTAACCATCTGAGCCACCCAGGTGCCCCCCACAGTAGGTTTCTAAGAAACCACAACACTCAGGTTTGGAGAGGAAGTATCCTGAGAAAAGGCTTGCTTTCATGTTGAGTAAAGCTAAAGCAAGAAGATTGCTTTTTAAATAGCTTGAACAAAAAGTTAATGTGTTGTTTTTCATTTATTCTCTCTCGTATCTTCTGGAGGGCTTGGTAAGTACCATTTGAAAGTTAAAGTTAATATTCTATAGATTGCTGGTTTAAAATGCAGCCTTACACCTGCACAGGATGTGCTAGTTTTGCTTTGTTTTGTTTCTGGCACTCAAGAAAGTTAAGGAAGAGCTAGTATTTGAGAATACATTGGCAAGACTTTACCACCCTGAAGGGTTTTTAATCATTTAAATGCAGAAACTACCTGATGGCCAACAGTGGAGAAAGGAGTCACTGGTGGGGGAAACTTACCAGAGGTTGTTTTTTGTTTTTTAAGATTTTATTTATTTATTTGACAGAGAGAGACACAGTGAGAGAGGGAACACAAGTAGGCAGAGTGGGGGAGGGAGAAGCAGGCTTCACACCGAGCAGGGAGCCTGATGTGGGGCTCAATCCCAGGACCCTGGGACCATGACCTGAGCCGAAGGCAGATGCTTAACAACTGAGCCACCCAGGCGCCCTCTTTTTTTTTTTTAAACATGGTTACCTTCCCACTCCTATTATTTGGCTTTTGGGTTGGTTTGTTTTTGTTTTTTTTTTTTCACTGCCCCAGGCATCTGCTTTAATTCTTTTGATTTTGCAGAAGTCTGTAATACATTGGCGGGGTTTTGAACCTTAAGAAAACTGGTTATGAGTTATAAATCCTTTCTCTACACCCTTATCTCTAGATTCTCTTGCAAAATATGGCTGCAGAAAGTATTCAGGAGTTGATCTGTGGTAATTGGCTGTGGAGGATGGCATGTTTAGTTCCTGGGAGGCTGTCTTGGCTAAGATAAGTTGTCTCAATCCTAACTAGACCTTTGTGTGGGGGGAAGCTATCTTAACAAAAGGTTCCATTGTATTCATATCCTATTTCTAATAAGGGACAAATACCTTCTTAAAGAAAACACATTTAATAAATTGCCCTGGATGAAATCTTTATTCTCATTTTTGAACCTAGCCTATGAATTCTGTATTTCATTGGGATTATTTGGAAACATTTTATGTTTCACTAGTCATCATTAGCTTGAGAGGCTTCGTAATGTGCCCTGATTTTTCCTTTTCCTGTGAAATAGACCTAAGTATTTTCTTGTCTTAGAGTGAACAGGAAAAACGGGAACGTCTGGAAGCCCAAAGGGAGAAGCAGAAGGAACTTATACTACAGCTCAAAACCCAGCTAGATGACCTGGAAACGTTTGCTTATCAAGAGGGTAATTACGACTCCCTGCCGCAGTCCGTGGTCTTGGAAAGACAGCGGGTGAGCAGAGACTAGAGGCTCCTCCACCTCTACCTAAGGTTACCTTGTTCCTGCTGGTGATCACAGGACGTTCTTTCTTCGCATGTTCACCCTTGGCCTTACTGAGAATCCCTTTGCTGGCCCATATCAAAGAGAAACGGACACGTCTTTATTCACACATGGAAACACAAGTTCCAAAGCCTTATAATATGATAATTGAGCTCTTTCTTTTGGGTGGTTATTAGTAATAATAATATATAATAGTAATAATAATTTTTCATTTGATCATTAAAACAGTTCTATTTAGACACATCCTACAATGTAAATCAGCTTTTTTCCCCACCACCACTTGATAAATATTCCAGGGATCCAGACTGGTTTTAACGCCGTATTTATTTAAGCAACACCTGGGTAGACAGGTAACCTGCCAGCAAAATACAGCTGCAGTCTCCCCTACTAACATGTTTGTTTCCCACTATGATGTGGGTGTTTCTCTGACTGAGCTGGAGTTACATTATCTGGATTTCACACTGTTCCAGATATTGTCACTAGGGTATTTTGACTGTAACACACTTTGATGTTTAGTAGAGATTTTTGTTTAGTTGCCTAGAATGGGGCAAGAAGGGAGGAAGAGGACTAGACACTAAGGGAAGTCAGTATTTGTTCTCTTGGAGGCCTTGGGGGAGGCTAACTATGAGGCTTTTTGGATCATCAGCCACTTTGGGTTATTCATACTGTTGTTCTCCTGAAAGTTGCCTGGCCTGGTAGAAAGTTTGCAGTTTAAAAAAAAAGAAGAAAAAGAAAAAATTTGCCATTGAGAGGAGCCATTTCTGTCCGAGAGGAACCAAGGGCCCTTGTTACTATAGGAGAAAGTAGCTCTGTACTCTCACCTTGATCAGCAGTTGCATCGTTTTCTCTCACAAATTTGGGAGTTCTGTCTTTGATTTTCATTTAAAGGTACATACTAGCAAATATTCTCCTTCTTCCTAACCCTCTCCCTGAAAATTCCAAAGGCTGTGCTCATTGCTTGTGGTCTTGATAGGTGATCATAGATGAATTAATAAAGAAACTGGACATGAATCTGAATGAGGACATCAGTTCACTGTCCACTGAGGAGCTCCGGCAGCGTGTGGATACAGCTGTGGCTCAGATTGTCAACCCAGCCCGAGTGAAAGAACAGTTGGTTGAACAGTTGAAAACTCAGATCCGAGACCTCGAGATGTTCATCAACTTCATCCAAGGTCAGGGGAAGGGATGGGAAGAGAAGCATGAACAGATGTCATAATAATTATATGTAGGGGCACCTAGGTGGCTCAGTCAGTTAA